TGCAGGTTCTGTCCCTGGCCAGGGCACATACAAGAAATAGCCTATGGATACATAAATAAGTGGAACAACAAATCACTCTCTCTCTCTCCCCCCACCTCTATATCTCTAAAATCAAATTTTTTTAATTTAAAATAAGAAAGAGAAAGAAAATATATGAAAAAGTCTATGATTATTTCCAAGACTAGCAAAATAAAGTAATAAAAGGGCATTAATCAAAATATGGTATCAACATTTTATACAGCTTAAATTAGAAAATATGAGTACCACATTATTAATTTCTATTTACCAACCCTTGTTCCCTGGAAACTTTTCAGGTCCTCCCAACCTTATCTTTTCAGTGCAATGTCTAAAAAATTATTTTGCTGGTGACACATCACTTCAGATGTCTTTTTGTGTGTGTGTCTGATTCTGTATCCACTGAGCAATGCTGTTCCAGTTTCATGGTTCAGAAATTCTGACCCCCACCTCCCAAATCCTGCCAACAGACCTACCTCCTGAATCTGGCCTCCTGGAGTCTGCCATGGTTACTTGGGAGGGGAAGGACTGGTAATTTTCACACACACCCATCCCATACTTTTAAAGGCACGTAACTATTCAAGGTCCAGCTGCCTAAGGTGCTATCTGAGAACTTTATCTTACCTTCTCTTATCTTTCCCAAAACCTTGTTTCCTAAGACTGCTTTCTGCATCTACTTTACATTCCTTTTATATTCCCGACTCTCCATTACCCCTCCTTTTCTAATAAACTACTATAAAAATGATTCACATCTCATTTTTTTCCTAGAACTGAAATTATTACAGGTATCAATAAGAGTATACAAAAGTAAATGCATATATACTATAATTTTGCATAGAAGAAAATCATGGTTGGAGAAGAATTGCCGTATAATTGAAATGACTGGGTAGATTTATAAATATCCAATTTTATATCTTAAAAACAGACTATATCTTATTCACAAGTGTTCTTAGATTTATAAAAATTCACTATATGCTTATGTACAAGAAACTTCAGAAACTATAAAGTTATGTTCTCTATCATGAAATAAAATAAAAGTTCATTGAAATCAATGGTTTAAACATAAATAACAATTACTTGGAACTTAAAAGTTTTATTATCATGGGTTAAAGAGACATTAAAAATGCAATATCAAACTACTTTGAAAACTACAACACCACAGATAAAACATTTGTTGAATGTATCCTTCACTATAAGTCTCTGTATAAAACACCAGGAGAGATTCAGGGAACCAATTTCAAATAGGGCAGAAAAACGTGAATATCTTTATTTTATGAAAAGCTTACATAAATTAATTTAAAAACATAAAATCCGAATAAATAATAAACATGCAAGGGATATAAACAAAATACAAAAGAAGAATTTATGTAAAAAAAAATCAGATTTCTAGTAATTAAAGAGCTACAAATGAAAACAACATAAAAGTAGACAAAATTATTTTAAAAATGAGAACAAACAAAAACACCAAAATTGTCAAAAATGCAGCAAAACAGGACCTGCCTATGGGAGGCTGAAGGATCCAGTCTTAGGGATGGCACCTCGGCCAAGTGACTAAGATCTTCAAAACACATTTACTGCTTTTAACCCAGTAATTCTGCTTCTGGGACTCTGTCCTGAGGGTGCAACCCAAATATTGAACAACGTCACACACAAAGATGTTTATAGGAAACGGCCACAACCTAAATGTTTGATAACAGCAAAATATTTACAGAATATTTACATAAATGATGTAACTATGAAAATTATGCTAACAAAGACTAGGCTGTAAGATGGAAAGTGCTTGTGCTTCACCACTACACTAAAAGCCAGGCTTTCAAATTGTACATACATGCAGCCTAATGATCGCAAGGCCGTCTCCTAATTTTCCAAGGTCCTACTCAAGTACCTGCTGAAAGAGAGAAACAACCCAGGCATAGTATTCAGTAAAAAGACTTGCAAGGAAATACACCAAAGTATTGTCATAAGTGACTATTTTCTTCTCTCCTTTAATGTACGTTTTCGTGTTTTCTTTAATGGACATGTGCCATATTACTTACACACTCACAGACATGAAGAAACTGTCTACATCATCCCTATAAATTGAAAGGAAACACCTCTTTCTGTAGGGAATGTATTGCCATTGTTCCTGGGTCTCTAAGGTCATTTTGATATTCTAGCATAAAAATTGCAGGATAAAGGCATGTCAGACAACTTCTCCCATCTTCTTTTCTCCAATAGTTTCTTTTTCCTGATGATTCCTTCAATTTTTCAAACCTATGGAAATTTCGTCAGTCCTCTCTCCCTTCCTTTGCACCTGGGATGTTTCCCCCTCACTCCTGCAGGGTGGAGATAATGCCCCAGGCACGCTGCTCCCAGTCTCAGAGCCCTGAGTCCCTGCTAACCCCGGCTCCCAGACATTCCAATCACCCACCAAAGGGTACTAGAGGCAGAATGTTCTGCTCCAGAGATTCTCAGGTTGGAGGCAGGTCGTGAAACTAGGTGTGGAAAACTTGGAGCTACGGAGAAAAGGTGAGAGATACTTAGAAAATCCAGTGCAAGGACTTTTGATACATAATAGTTTTGTGCGATGAACATTCAGACTTGTTTCTTGCATGACAACTTGCGGGACTCCACATCCTGTTCTGGATGTGTATTAACTTAATGAATGAACAAAGGAATGAATGAATGAATGAATTATGCTTCCCGTTATCCTGCAATGACATAGCTGATCAATGACTCAGAGTGATGGATGGAGGAGGGGTTGGTCATTTAGTACCAAAATAAACCCCCAGATTAAGGCACGCAAGGACCCATAACATGGCTCGTCAAAGTGTGGCCTAGGGAGGGGCAGCATTACCATCACTTGAAAATTTGTTAGAAATGCAGAATCTCAGGCCTCACCCCAGAGCTACGGGATCAGAATCTGCATTTTAACAAGATCGCCAGTGACTCATATGTCTGTTAAAGCTTGAGAAACACTGCCTCAGAACCCACACAGCAGTCACTGAAACGAAGCTAGTGCGTCTGCTCTTGTAGACTTCCATTAAACCATCGAGAGGCTGGATGATTCTTTACCACATGGGCTGCCTTCAGTGTTGACCTTGCTCCAAACTGTGGCAGGGAACAGAGCTCACAGCAGAACAGACCCTCTGTGGCTTGTCCCAGACCTCACCACTCTTTGGGGCTGAGTCCAGTACCACTCTCCTCACAGTGGGGTTACAGGTGAATGCCCTTGGGCACAATCACTTACTGGTTAAAGACAGTGCAGAAGCAACCCAAGAGACAATGCAAGGGAGAAAATACTCTTAAAATGCAGTTTAGCCAAGTAAAAGCAAGACTAATTAATCACTGGCATTTGTAAAAACTATTTGCCACATGTGCCTGATGACCATGCAAGATAATCATGATTAAGAAAATTATTCAATATGCAGCTGATTACTTTGTAAAGGTTTATTTTATTACATAAGTGGTAATGCCAAATTCATTAAGACTTTATATATTTTGGAGGGGGGAGGGAGAAAGAGAGGGAGAGAAACATTGGTGTGTGAGAGAAACATCAATCAGTTGCTTTTTACATGCTCCCAACCCCCAGATGGGGGCCTGGCCAGAAACCCAGGCACGTGCCCTGATCAGGAAGGGAACGAGCATCCTTTTGGTTCTCAGGACAGTGCCCAGCCCAGTGAGCCACACTAGTCAAGGCCTGGTAATCCCCAAATTCATAGTCAGGGCTGAACTGTGGGCTTCTGCCTCCAAATCTCCGGGACGGACATGTAAATAGGTTCCCTGCTCAGAACGTGGAAAAGGTAAAAGAGCTGTTAATTGTTAAATCTGGGCTCTGACTTTGCTGACTCGGAAGGGGCTTGTTTCAGGCACCAGACTCTACTCATTTTTCTAGGTCCAACTGAAGTATCATCCTTCAAGGAGTTCTCCCAGAAACCATCACTCTCTATTTTGTTTCTCATGGCATTTTCTTTGGATTTGTATTACAGATATTAGGGAGGTAGGAGAACTTATGCATTAGGACCCTGGGCTTTGTAGCCTAACTATATAGATCTAAATTCCTCTTCTGCCTGTGACTAGCTGTATGACCATGTCCATGTAACTTCCCTTCACAGCTGTCAGATGCAGAAATCTATACCATAGGTATATTCTGAAGATTACATGAGACAATGCATTAAAACATTACAGTGCCTGGCACATAATAAATATTGAATCAGTGTCAGCTATTATTACTAGCACTTTACCAAGTTTGGCTCTAATTAGAGTTGGTTGTATATGCATCTGTCTTTCCTGCTAGACTGTGAGCAAACTGTTGATATCACACACATCTGGCATAGCGACTTACAAATGGTAGACACAATAATATTTGTCAAATTGGTTTGAAGGTATGCCAAGAAGAGGAAAGAAAGGGCGTTAGAAGCAGATTTAATGTACTTCATGATTTTACCCAGGGCCAACCTCGGTAGTGTTTGTTTTCTTCTATTACCAGAATCTGTTGTTTTAGACTATGCTATAAAATGGGGCTGGAGATGCATTATTTCTGGAACCAGATGTTTTATTCATCTGGAACCAGATGTTCTATGAGGAATCTGAAAGACTGGCCAGACTGGGTGCCCTGGCACGGGGCCGCATCAGTTTTGAATATCGCCCGCCTAGTAGGGACGTGTTTTGTTTTTCATTTACTTAGAGGGTTGTCTTTATCGATTGCACGAGAGTATATGTACCAGCCGGGGGTCCACAACAAACTTAAAGTTCCCTCTTTAACAAGCCTCCTTACTCTAGGATGAACATCAACTAAAATAATAGTTAGTTTACTAAACATTCATTGAGTGCCCATTATAGGCTAAACATTGCTCTAGACACTGAAGATCCCACGGTGAGTGAAGACACTAGAGCTGGGGGAGGGAGGCGGCAGTGCAGAGGGCAGCAATGTAGGCTGGGTTGATAAACCGCCTTAGACAATCAGAGGTGTTGTAGAAACGCCCAAGGCAGAGCCTGATCCGAGGCTCGAAGGGTCAGAGAAGGTTTAAACAGGAAGCTAACAACCAAGATGAGGCTTGAAGGAGAAATGGCAGCAGCTAACAGGTATTGAGTATGTGCAAAAGGCTCTGCTCAGAGAACATTGCATGAATCCCTCCCTTAGTCCTTACGACAACCCTGTGAGGTAGATATTCTATCCCTTCGCTTTGACAGACAAGGAAACGGAGGCTCGCGGTGAAAGGTGGAGCTGGAATTCAAAGCCAGGAGGTGTGGCTCCAGACTAAAGGGGAAGGAGAGAGCCAGATAAGAAGCCTTTAAGAAAGAGGTAAGTTTCTAGCAACAGCCTGGTGGGGAGGAAAGAAGCAAGGTCTTTTGGGGAACTGAAAGTGGCTGGGGTGGGGACAAAAATACACTGATGACTGGGCTTGCTGCTTAGAGGGGAAACCAGAGGCGGGGATTTCTGGTCTAGCTTCACTGTATCGTTCTTGTCACCTAAACCCCTCCTGGCCTTAGCCTCTCCCTTTTGTCAAAGGTAATAATGACAATACCTAGGTTCTACCACAAAGAAGAGCATGAGTACCCAGTGAGAAAAAAGTATGTTAGCTTGATAGGAAAGCACAAATTCCTTTGCAGACACGCAATTTCACCAGTATCATTACACTGGTAGCCTCAAGGATTTGCAAACCTGGAATCATTGGGGTTGGTAGTAGCGAGAGCTTCGGGAGCAGAGCCACAGTGGGGGGGAAAGAAAGGCCAGCGGGCGGACGCTGTGTCCCATCGCCTGCATCCAAATTCACCACTTACTGTGTGACTCCAAGGGAGGCCAGCTACTCTCCCACTACCTCAACTGCATCATCTATGAAATGGGGATGGTATGTAGCACTCATTTCATAACTTTACATGAGTAATAAATGACACGAGTAACAAGCTTATTAGAACAGCTCCCGGCGCAGAGGAAAGACTCAGTAAATGTTAACAGCTATCATGATTATCCTTATTAAGAAGTCTGCCGGTTGCTCGTCCCATTCCTCCACATTCTATGTGATAAAACGTGTGGGGATATTAGACAGGAGACAGGATGAAGAAGCTTTGCAACCCCATGCACCCACACGGCTGCAGACCTTCCTCCTGGCTCCCGCAGACCGGCGAGCAGCTAGCTTTCCCTCCCCGCAGAAAATGACCAAAAGAGGTAAAAGACAGAGACTGCACACCATTTGTGCAAAGCAGGCTGCTGTTGTAGTTTTTAGACAAAATCTAAATATAGTCAGTCAAACACGCCTTGCTTTTTTAAGATAAAACCGTTCCCCTGCCCTCCATCCCTTCTCTCCCCTCCCCCTTCCATACAAGTGCACACTCCCAGACTCCTTCCAAGAAATTTTCAGTCTTTTGCAAGACATACTCTGGGGTCCTGTTGTGACAGCCTCTTGCCACACTAACTACTCTAACTCCCTGCAGAGAAGCCTTTGCTAACTTCACAACAGGAAAGCACTCAGGAAATTCGAGAACAAAACAAATCTGCTCATTGAGCCCAGCGTCTTCAAGCAAATACGCTGAGGTACGCGACCGAAGCAAGACGACTCTGGACTATTAATGAGGCAGCTGCCTCTTAAACTGCAGGGGACGGAAGAAGTCATTTACCTCTTTAAAAAAATCTGAATACAAGTGGATAATGAATATTCATGATCCCCTTCAGCTGCCTCAAGAGCCACCCTAGACAACAACCACGGGGCTTTACAGTCTTAAAAAGTTTCCCAAAGTTCTTTCTCTGCCTCCTCTCAGAAGGAGAGGGTGGGAGAGATCATTTAGGGCTTTTTGCCTCTTGGTTTTTCAAGTATTTGCTTTTGGTCTGGGCTTTGGATTTTTATTTTTTCCTCTGTTTTCCTTTTTTTTTTTTTCTTTTTTGTTCTTAAGGATTTCGGATCAAATCAATTTTGCTCTTACCCTTTACATCTTCCATAATTGGCAGCTTTTGTTTTCTTCCTCTTTGCTCTTTTTTTTCAGTCTCTGCTTGCTGTGGTCGGTCTCAGTGAGAGAGGTACTCAAGGAACAGAGATATAACAGACCCTCAGGCTCGTGGGAGGGGCTAAACTAGCCGGCGGTTTAGGAAGGAACCTCAAACTCCGTCTTTTTCATTGACTGGAAACGACAGATTGGCCTTGGCCAGGAAAGTCCGGCTGCTCATTTCCGTAAAGCTACAAGGAGGCTTCCCCGGGTTGTAACTTTTTGTATTCGTGTTCAAATGTCTCACGCGCGCTCTCTTTCTCTCTCATTGTTACAGAACCCTCCCCCCCCCCCTTGCAAAATGTATCTTGGCTGCAAGCAAAAATGCTATTTACTTACTGCAATTTTGAAGCCCGATAACAAGAAACTTGTTACCTTGATACCCACTGGGAAAATTGGGATGCAAGGACAGTTCTTCCCGCCCCAGGAAGCTGAGCACTGCTGGTTCCTGATGAGCACGCCCTTTACGGGGCTTATTAGACCCGAGAAGCAGTGGGTCACCCAAGCGACGGACCAGGACTCCGAGGCAGGAGAAGTCCTGTAATTGGAGGGAAGGCTTGATGGAACATCGAGGAGGCTGCTTGCTGGGAACAGCTGTAGCGCTGTACTGACCCAAGTTATACACTTTTTTTTTTCCTTCCAAACTATGATTCCTGCCTCTGAAGTTTTCTGAGCAGGAACTGCCGCACCCAGGCTTTGCCAACATGAGCCCAATGCTGATAAGACGCCGACCAAAAGATTTTCAAAACTGTATGTGAAATTATTTTGAAATCAGGACAAAGCTAATCCCTCTGAGAGGAAGGTAAGTCCTCAAGTCCCAAGGCTGCCTGGGGGGCCTCTCCCTGGAAGAGGCCATCAGAAACCTTAGCATTTTGTGTTTGACAGAAACCTCAGACATCTAGTCTAACCAAGGTTTGAGCCATGGAACAGTGAAGCTGCACATGTTCACAAAGATAAAGAGCAGGTAGCTGGTCTCCCCTATTTGCAACCACACTCGCCAGAACCTAATACAGTTTCTCCCACCGTGCAGCCTCACTGTGAGTATTTGATGAATGGTTGAATGAATGAATAGCAGCAAAGCAAGGATATGGATCTGGTTCTGGATTCCCAGTTCATGTTTTTTTCTGCATTGCTCCTCCAGCAGGAAATTTTTTTCTAAATCCAAATATGCAATAAGACATTTTCTTCACAGTACATTTTAACCATTACAGATTGTATTTGATTCCTATATAGAAAATATATTCTTAACTACATAGACATGGGACACTTAATGATACATGCTATGTCCTGAGAATTGCACTGCCAGGCAATTTTGTCCTTGTGCCAACATGGCAGAGTGCCTTTTCACACACCTAGATGGGGGAGCCTGCTACACACCTGGCTTCTATGGTAAAGACCATTTTTTCTAGGTACAACCTGCACAGCATGTTACTGTACTAAACAACAGATTACATCAAGTGCAAGACAAATGATGCAACCAAGAAACACTCTAAACACAAGAGGTATGAGGCTGCTGCCCGCATAACATGGCACACTGTTTTATAGCAAACTTTTTTTACTTAAGTACATAACAATAAGAAATGTAGTGCGGTAAATATACGAACTAGGAGCATAGTTGTTTATTATCAAGTATTATGCATTGTACGTAATTGTACGTGCCACGCTTTTACCCAGCCGGCAGTGCAGTTGCTTTGCTTATACCAGCATCACCACAAACACTTGAGTAATGCATTGCACCATGCTGTTTCCATGGTTATGATATCAGTAGGGGATAGGAATTTTTTAGCTCCATTATAATCTTATGGGACCACCTTTGTACATGTAGTCTCTTGACCAAAATGTTGTTATTTAGTGCATGCGTGTATTTCAATCGCTGTCATTTTTTAGTAAGGGCAGGGCTGACTCTTTCCTTTGGGCATCTCTGTTGTGACCTTGCACAGTGCCTGCCTCATAGTATGTGCTCAACAAATGTTTGATGCCTTAACCTGTGTCTGTACGACAAGACTCTTCGTCTTACTATGTGGTTCATAGTCACAGGAGTTTTCATTTGTAATAACAACTAATTATAGTAAGTGAAAAAAGAAAACAATGGATGTCTTCTCAAGAGCCAGTTTAGACTCCATCTGTAGTAAAGAACATTGTTTGATATTTCTCCTATTGTCCTAGAATTGTTTTTTAACTAAACAATGGGCTATGTGGGAAAACCAACAGTTTTTGTAATGGGTTTATAACTGCCTTGCATCATTGTTTTGGAGAAAATTTTGTGAAACAGCACATCCACAGAACATCCTGTGAACAACAGAATGGGAAACAGACCATCCAAGCTAGAAAGGAAGCAATGATGGGGTGGGGCCAGGGAAGACCCAAAGTGAGTGAGGGGGTAGGTGAGAGAAACAGACAGACCGGCGCCCGAGCAGCCATGGAGAACCCAGTTTGGGCACAAGGCAACAGTTCTCTGTTTCACACAAAATTAAATTTCAAAGATTCCTATCATCTACTTGGACATCACATCGCTGACTAAAGGTTACTTCAACAATTAACACAGTCTTCTTTAATTTCATCCTAGAGAGAGAAGCTATCAAGTAAAGTACCCAACTTCTGGTTCAACCAGAAGAGGTAAAAGGTCATCATAATAACTACCACTTCATAAAAATTTAAAGGTCATCAGAGTTAAATACACAGTAATAGAAGAATGGTTTTAGCCCCCAACTCATATTATATGAACCTTTGTTTGACATTCAATGCTTTTATGGTAATATGCCTCATGCTACAATTTAATCATATGGTCTGGTGTTCACACCCTCCTTGGCATCATGAAAACACAACAGTTAAGTAAATATTAATTCTCATTTGTTCAAGAATAATTACCAAAAAAAGATGGGGGTTTTGTGCATCTTTTTAAAGGCCTGAGATTTTATCCTATAAAATAAATGTGTGAACAAAAATATCATCACTATTTTATTGTTATTTCTAATAGGAAGTAGAAAATAAAAGCTGCACTCCCAGAGGTAAAGGGGCTTGTTAAAAAGGGATGATGATATTCATCTCTTAATGATAAAATGGTCTTGAATTATTTTTAGAATGATTCAAGTTTTACTTTTTTCCTTATCCTCATTCTCTCTCACTCTGCTGCCCAGATCTTTCTTATGCTTTATTTATTCTTTATTGATTTTAGAGAGAGAGGAACAGGGGAGAGAGAGAGAGAAAGAGGGGGAGGTCAATTTGTTATTCCATGCATTTATGCATTCATTTGCTGATTCTTGTGTGTGCTCTGACCGGAGCTCAAACCCGCAACCCTGGCATATCAGGATGATACTCTAACCAACTGAATTATCTGGCCAGGGCCCAGATGCTCTTTCTACAGTGTACACCTGATAATGTCATTCTCAGGCTTTAAAATTCTAGTCTCCTTATCACTCATAAAATAAAATTCAGTTTCCTACCATGGAATACATAAGGTCTCTCTCTCTCTCTCTACCTGTCTAGATTCATTACCTGCTGAAGGTCCCCATTCCCTAAAAATGGATTATAATGTCCAACCCACAGCGCTTTCATGACTCTCCATTTACACAAGTTGTTCCTTCTGCTCAGAATGCCCTTTCCCCTCCTGTTCACCTGGTCCTCCAACACATCCTTCGTGATTCAGTTTGTCTGGTCTTTTGTGAACCTCTCTGCCCGCCCTCATTTCAGTCCTTCCCCCTTTCTCCACAAACATAGCACTGACCCACAGAGAGATGCCTGTCATATGACCAGGATGTGTTACAATTTCATTTATGGCTCAGACCATGAACCATAGAGTCACACTTGCATTCGCTCTCCTCACAATCCAAGTCCACTTCTTTAGCAAACCCTTTGGTTTCCACCTTCAGAATATTCCAGAACATGACCTCTTCTCATTTCCTTCACTGCTCCCTGGTTTATTGTGATAGCCTTCTTCCAGATTCTTTTCTTAACCCTGCTGAGTCCATTCTTAACCCAAAACCCATAGTGATCCGATTAAAACAAAACAAAACAAAACAATAAATCATGTCATTTCTCTGTTCAGAACCCTCCAGTGGCTTCCATTTCATTCCAAGCAAAACAAAAGCCCTTCCAACTGGCCTGGCCCCCGCCACCTCTCTGACTTTATTTCCTGTCACTTCCCTTTCCTTGCTTCCTCTGTTCCAGCCTCAGAGTCTTTGCAGCTGCTGTTCCTGCTGCCCAGAATGCTGTTCTCCCAAATACCCACACAGCTCATTTTCTCATCCCTGTAGGCCTTTATTTACCTTCTACCTCAGCACAAGAGTGTGCTCTCTACATACTCTTTTCTGTTAAAACAAACCAAGGCTCTTTGGGAAAATGGCTGATTCCAACACTGAGGCAGGAAGTATGAAAGATGAGACTGGAATATTTCGTCACACCAGAAAGCAAGGACACTATCTAAAACTGCTAGCGTTGTGTCAAAAGGACTCAGGAGCCAACTAGCCAATGTAGTAAAAATCGGAGCAGCAATAAGAAAGAATAAGTGAAATGGATCGAAACACACCAGACATGTTACCACTCAGGTGTTCCTAAAGGTGCTATAAATAAATCATTGTTCACCTGTAGAACCAATTCGTTTTTCTTAAAACAGGTAAATAAAAGGGGGAAACGGCAACATTCGGCAGGCCTTTGCTGCATGAAAGATACCACAGGACAACACAATAGTTGATGAGGGAAAAGCCCCTTAAAATATTTCAGATAATGAATAACATTGATAGCATTAGGGTATCACCATTGTGCATGCAGCTAATCAAGTAATAATGTTAAACAATAATCAATGACTGCTTATGTCACGAAAGGAAGTGCAGCCATTCACTGCAGGCCTCCTGATGGGAGCACGCGCCACCCCCACTGAGGTGTTCTTGTCAAAACACTGAAGTCTCTAGGTACAACTGCCCATTTACAGGATACGGGGCACAGAAAACCATGTTAAAAGACACTATAGGAATTTAATCAGTAACATTTAGTCTGGAGGAAACACTATAAAACAACTCCATTTTTTAAACAAATAAATTGCAAGGAAGGAAAAACATGAGGTACCTGAGACTAAACAGGATTTAAAAGATACGCCAACTAAATGTAATACCTGGACCTTCAATTCTGATTCAAACCAATTTGAAAGAAACTCTGAGACAATTGAAAAAATTGAATGTTTATGGGATATCTTTTATAATGTTAAGAACTGTTCATTTTAAGGCATGATATTAGTATTGTCTATTACTGTGCAAAAATCCTTTCTTTTGGTGACATATGCTGAAATATGTACAGAAGAAATCTGGGATTAGTTCAAGAAAGAGAAGGCATAGATGAGGTGCAGCTAAAACAAGATGAGGGACGAGGTCATCTTCGTCGAAACTGGGTAACGGGAATGCGGGGAATTGACTTACTATTCGCTTTGCATACTTGCAATTTTCTGCAATAAAAAGTTGAAAAGAATTTTAGGTTAAAAAGTGGAAGATTGTCTGATGGCATGCAATAATTATATAAGGCAGGGAGGAATCATACTTGGGAGTGGGGATGGCAAGGTTCAGTTTTAAAAATTGCCCTAATCAACAAGATGATCACCACAAAATTGGCTAAGCATTTCATTTAGAGATTATTTACAAGAAAATAAAGTTAATTGAACAACACACTGGTCAGAGCTAAAAAGCTGTTACACTGATGTAAACCAGAACAATATATTCACTGTGTAAGCTGTCCGTAGCACAATAATCAGGCAGCAATATCAAGGTGTTCTTAAATTTCCTTTTTTTTAAGATTTATTTGTTTGTTTATTTATTTAGGGGAGGGAGAGAGGGAGGAAACCATTGACATGCAAGAGAAACATGGATCGATCGCCTCCCACGTGCCCCCAACCCGGGACTGGCCAGCAACCCAGCCATGTGTCCTGACCGGGAATTGACCAGCGACCTTTCAGCCTTCAGGACAACACTCAACCCACTCCAGTCAGGGCAGGATGTTCTTAAATTTATTTATGGAATGTAATATTAGATGTAAAAACTCGGAAAGTGTTAACTGGGACGAGAGTCTCAAGGTCTGGGTGGTTCTTACTAAAGGTTAGAATGTAAAATACCCAGCACGTTGCAGACAGAGCTGCAAACAGGACAAGCTGGGCAGGAACCCAAACTCAGCCCCACAGGTGCGGCCGACTGCAGAAGAGAAATCAACATGTAATTCAGTGTGCATGTGTGTGTGTTGGCAAAAGTAGGTTCACAGCTGTTCGTATGGAAAAGAACACAGTAATTAATAAACAGGAATACAAGAGTTAACTCTGGCGCTGGCCAGTGTGGCTCAGTTGGCAGAAGCATCATCTCGTAGTTGGAATGTTGTGGGTTCTGTTCCCCGTCGGGGCACAGGCCTAGGTTTCAGGTTTGATCCCCTGCGTGTACAGTCCCAGTTGGGGTGCCTGCATTCCCTGGTCCAGGTGTGGATGGGAGGCAACCAACTGATGCTTCTCTCTCTCTAAAAAATAGTGGGGAGAAACGTCCTCAGGTGAGGATTTTTTTTTTTAAAAGAACAACTCTGTTTTGCATATTATAAACCTACTTTTGCCCATATACAAGGTTTGTCCACAAAGTATCCAGCTATGTAAATGTGGGGGAAAATAAAGACATTTATTGAAGAAAATACTAGAAACTTGTATATAGAACAGCGACACCCCAATTCCCTTCAAAGTAGGCCCCTTTGGACCTCACATAGTTCTCCCAGCATCTCTTCCACTGTTCAAAACACTCTTGAGGAAATCTGGTTCATTGGTAACAGTTTGAATCAAGTCATTAGCAACTGTAGCACAATGTTCCTTCTGCTCTGGGAGCATCATTCCTTCTGGTACAAGCCACGGAACAAATTTTGCCACAACACATTTTGTATCAAGATCCTGCGTAAAATCTCCATATCAGCTTCTAGTTTTCACACTGCCAGTGGCTGATCTTTGTTGATTCCAGCCCGTACATGTTCAACATTCTCAGGTGTTCTGCTTGCTGCAGGCCTTCCAGAACGTGGATCAGTTTCAACAGATTCTCGACCATCTTTGAAGCGTTTGTGCTGCACTCTTATTTGCACTGCACTCATTGCATCATCCCCGAAAGCCTTTGCATCATCCAAATAGTTTCTGTGAAGGAATGTTCAAGCTTAACGCAAAATTTGATGCAGATTCATTGCTCTAAGTTTTGGATGTGAACCCCCTATGTCCTTTACTTGCTGCAAGTAAATAAAACTACCTAAGGACAACCGTGTCTCATTCTTAAAGGGAATGCCCCAAGTGGTGAAACCCTTGAGTTCAGTAACAGAAGGACCATACGCACAGTGTGGTTTTCTGTCCAGCGTGCAGTTCCCGTGGTGTGGTTTGATGACTTGAGGCACTCTCCGTACACCCAACAGCGCCCAAGCAGGCATTGCGCAAATTGGGCAGGATGGTGATGGTAGTTTCTGCCTCACTGGAGGTCAGGGCTGGGTGGTTGGCCTGACGAGCGTTATGGTCTCTACATTGTTTCTATTTCTCCATTGAAACAGAAGTCTATTGATAAAACTAATGAAAGGAGGTGCTCTGGTTTTATGTATCTTAAAATAAACGCCCAGGGAAACTATTGCACAAAATGACGTGTTTTGTCAATTCCAAGAATTCATTTATTTATCCATTCAACTTTTATTATATTTGAATATATTTGAACTAAAATGTTCTTTGTAATCTGTGACACAGTGTTCGAAATGTTTGACCTTTTGATATTTTTTAAAAGTCCTTGTTCATGTTCATGGTTGCTTTCAAAGCTAAAAGAAGACTGCAAAGTGTGGATTTTTGTAATTGATAAGGATACCATAGACATTTAAATAGCAGTACTTCAAGAATCATGAGGTAAAATGTTACATATTGTATGGCAATTGACAAATCTAACCTTACGAATTCATAGATTTTTTCCCCACCAGCAATAGACCCAACCCCTATCTTCTTTTTTTTTAAACATCTTTTAAAGTTTATTTTTAGACAGAGGGGGAGGGAGGGAGAAAGAGAGGGAGAGAAGCATCAATGTATGGTTGCCTCTTGTGTGCCCCCTACTAGGGACCTGACCTGAAACCCAGGCATATGCCCTGACTGGGAATTGAACCTGTGACCCTTTGCTTCACAGGCAAGCAGCACTCAGGGTACTGAGCCACACCAGCCAGGGCCCAACCCCCAACTTCTTAACCACCACCCCTCCCCACCCCACCCCCACCATAAACCAAGGTAGCAAGTCAGTACCATTTGCTGTTGTTGTGTGAATACTCAAAAAACAAAACTGGCAGCACATTTTGAAACTAATGGCAAATTTTCTTGACACTATTTGACACAGTGCTTTGACAATGTAACTCAATTGAATCTGTACTTCTCTACCATCAGTAATAACCTCTGGCCCCAGTTCATCTGCTTGCTCACAGTTATCCAGAGATGATAAGCATCTATCTGTGTAAGGGTAGGACATAGCAGTGGGGTGGATCTAAAAGGGCTCTGAGAGTATTTAAAAGGCATATTGGTTCAGAAAATGCCCCTTCCCTTCTTTTAGGGGAAAAGTAGGAAAGATGCTGTCTCTCAGAGCAGAAACAGCTCTCAACCCTGGCTGCACATTATAATCACTTGGGACACTTAAAATATGCTGCTGCCCATCTCCACCCTTAGAGATTGGAATTTTATTTGGTCTGGGGTATGACCCAAGCAAGGGTTTTTTGAAAAAAAAATTTTAAAGGGCTTAGCTGATTTTAATGTGCTGCCAGGGCTTTAGAGCTAAGTATATCTAGGTGCAAATCTTTACTGTGGGAGACCTTAGACACGTTAGTGAGCCTCTCTGAATGTTTCTTTATCTGTCCCATATAGATTTCTTTTCTTTACATCTACTTCACAGAGTCATTGTAGGGGATGGGGGAGAATAAATATGTGAGAACTTCTGTCAACTGATGGTCATTGGTGCCAATTCAATGCCAGTAGGAATCTCTAATTTGGGACATGGTGAAGGAGGGAACTATTGAGTGCAAACAGGCTCAACTGAGACACAGCACAGCTGTGAAAACAGTGCAGCTATGAGGTGGCCCTGGAGTTGGGTGGCCCAGTAGTCAGGCCCCTGTCCAGCTAGATAGCTCTGGGCCAGTCTCCTCTGCTCCTCTCTGCTCTGCCCTGGCCTGCACTGGCCTGCTCTGCTTCTGAGAGATATGTTTGGTATTTCAGCTCCAGCTGAGAAGAGGCAAGTCTTCTGTTTTCAGTGGAAAGAGAAGGTGCACTCCCAAAGCCAGAGGGAAGTTGACTTACATAGACAGAAGTCCCAGCCCTGGTCCCTGATTGCCCTGTCCTCATGCAGATGAGGACCCCAAATCCTCACAATTTGATTGGTCCAAAAGGCACTTTCCTAATTGGTCCAAATGGAGCTGCTCTGATTGATTTGTGAAGAAGCTGATGGGGGAAAATATAGCTGCACCACTCTGATTGGATGGAGAAAGTCTCAGTCCTATAGGATTGAAATAGGATTGGTTGAAATAGGATTCCAAGAACTCATTTGTAAGGATTGGCCCAAATGGCAGAAAGACAGTGCAGGTAGGCAGTTCAATGCAGGCTTCTCCCTGCAGTACAGGTTGCATGAGAGATCCTTGTATAGAAATGGCTGCTAGGCTCTGGGTTTTTGTTTGTTTTGTTTTGTTTTTTTACTTGGAGCCCAGTTAGCCACCAGGAGTCCTTCTTAGTAGGTATCTTCTTTCTCAGGGTCCACACTTCTAACAGACACTCTAACACAGAGCTGGCACAGAACAAGTGTGAGTTCCTTTCCTCCTCACATGTCTGTGTTCGATTACACAATACATTGTTTTCTCTTCTCATGTCTCTTATCTTCCCCCCTTCAATATCTTTCATTTATTTTTCAGAAGCAACCCAGGGTACCTGAGGAAAATTAGATCAGAAGTCCCTTCCCTCCTACAGTACAAAGGACCTCTCCACCCCCTTCCCCAAATTTAAAATGATCTTATATATTCAACAACAACTGTAGAACTGGAGCCATGTTGAGAGAGGGGACTGAGGGGTGTAGATGACCTGAGTGTACCCACGTCTTTGTTTTTCTGGGATAAGCCAGTGGCCTGGGTAGCCAGAGAGGAATGCCCTGAACTCTCAGGCAGGGAAAGCCCCTGAATGTTGCAGAATGGCCCCCTCTTCCACAGGGCAAGTACGTGCCACACGGTGGCACCAGAAGAGGGTAGGCCTAGAGTGTATAAAGCATAGCAATCTTGAGCAGTGAACAGGCTTAAAAAGGAGCTTTTAAGTTTGCAGAATTGAAGTGAAGGTCCTAAACTACAGGTAAACGTCTAATCCGATCTCGGTATTTGGTGAAGTTTGTGTGGTATACACGTTATCTTATGGGAAGTGTTTCACAACTTACATGTGGCCACTCTCACTTGAGTTACAACCAGTGCCCCTCCATTTCCCTGCATGAGGTCAAATCTGTCACATTTTCTGTTGCAACATCCTCTTTACCTTCTTCATCCTCCTACCCCACCCCAAGTGCCCTGTTTCCTCTAAATGTCTCAAGGTCTGCAGAGATAATGAGTAAAATGACACTTCCTTAAAAATCATAAAATTTTAATGCTACTTCAAGAGGCATGCCCCAAATCCACGAGCTGCTGGTATGATAACTAATAACAGCTGTAGTTTCTTTAAGGTCAAAGACATTCATTTCCAAAGAAACTACTCATCATCTAGAGAAGCCCAATCAATGTATAAAAGCTCCAAAACTTTATAAAACTAATTTTTAAAAGATGAATTTAAATGGAGTATACAGACCAGTGGTTGCCAGAGCTTCACTGGGGTAAGGGAAGAGATTCGCTGGGAATCTGCGAAGCACAGCGGATTTTAGGGGACACTCTTCAGTATGATCCAGTAATGGTGGGTGCATAACCGTGCATTTGTCAAATCTACAGAACTCTAGAGGACAAAGAATAAACTTTAATGTACACAAATTTTTTAAAAAATCGTTCAGGAAGTTAAGGGATCCCAGAATGGAGTGTAGATTATGAAAAAATAATGTAACTGTGTTACAAATGCATGAAACTTCACTGAGGCTGGTGGGGGAAAAGTGCTGACCTAAGGGGAAGGATGTAAGACTTAAGGCGAAAGGAATTGCACAAAACCACATTACTCTACTTGCTAAAACTGTTTCCCATGGGGATAGTGGTTCGTCATTCTGAGAGCACTATCCATGTCGATTGGAATGGGACAACTAAGCAAACGGGCGACAGTAGGAATTGGGGTTCTCATGTCAGAGTGAGAGGGTTCAGACGAGGAAGGGCAGGTGGCCGAAACAATCCGTGTGGTGGCGGATTCGAGTTGGAGGCATCAGTATGAACTCTAGTTTAGACTGCACATGGATAAATACCGCAATATTTATAGTCGTGAGTATACAAAGTTTAGAATGTTTGTTTATTTCTTTGCTCGAAGGATTAGAAACAGTGATACCCAAGTAGCAATGAGCATACCTAGCCCGAGATCTCTGTGTCCTCCAGAGAAATGGCTGATTCTAGGACTGGGGCAGGAAATATACAAGGTGAGCTTGGAGCATCTTGTAGGACCAGAAAATAAGGAAGTAATCAGAAAACATCACAGTTGAGGCGTATTAAACTGACACAGGAGCCAACTGCACAAGCTCCCAATAGCCGAAACTAGAACACTTTGAACAATGAAGCAGTGTTCAATTATAACCCAAAATCTAAAATCAAATGAATCTATGCTGATGCAAATTATTGAATAAGTAAATAAATGAGAGAGAATAAATAAATCTGCTGTTCAGAAGAATTATGAATACATTATGTAGATACTCCGCTGCCTAGAAGGTAGCCAGTAACACTCCTCAAGTGCCAGCCGCACGTAATGGTTACCTCCAAAGACTGGAGTGTGGGGAGGGAGGGAGACACGGTGGTTTCACAGTGGAGAAACCCAGCAAACACGACCACGGCCAGGTGGCCAGGGTCAACACTGACGGCGATAAGTCATGTCGATCACGCACGCCCCTGGTAGGAGGTAATGGAAATGGCACTTCACCTCTGTGGCCCTCCTCCAAAAGACATGTGAGGCCAGTCTAATCATGAGGACGACATCAGACAAACACCAACTGACTGTCATTCTACAAATACCTGGCCAGTCAAAGTCATCCAAACCACAGAAAGTCTGAGAAAATGTCACAGCCAAGAGGACATGAGGATTAAATGTAATGTGCATTCCTGGATGGTATCTTGGAACAGAAAAGGACATTGCATAAAAAAAGTTGAAAAAGTGGAATAAAGTATGGACTTTAGTTAATAATAATGTCTCATTATTAATTAGAACAAATGTATCACTCTAATCGAAGTTGCTAGTAATAAGAGAAACAGGGTATGGAGTATATAGAAACTTTTTGTACTACTTCGTAACTTTTCTGTAAATCAAAATTTATTCTAAAATAAAAAATTTATTTTTAAAATGTTAAGCATCATATAGATGTTTAAATTTCGTTGTTGTACCAAAACCTCTTGCTGAAGC